GCGCACGGCGCTTTTGATTCTGGAGTCAGTTTTAGACAAAGCTGCCTTGAAGCACAGGAAGCAAGTTTCACTTTCAACTTTGCCCAAGGCTCTACTCAGAGATGAAGATATCGGTGAAGAGGAGTGAAATCTTAATTTAATTAACTGTAACTCCCAACGGGACAAGTTTGGGAGGTTTGCTCAGAGGACAATTATCTTAACCAACTGAGCTGCAGTATTCACTTCCCAAGTTCCAGTTTAGGCTTTTGTTTGGCACAGCACTGAGGCACAAACTGGTTGCAAACTTCAGATTTGCTCAAATTTGCCCAAAATATATGGGTGCTCAGATCTGGCTTACATCAAAAAAACATGTTTACAGTTACAATGAATTTGGCTTTCTCCCACACTTAAACCTATTTATTTAAACCTCTCATTTTGGTCATGTCTTTTCCATCCTCTATTTCTTTCCCTGTTAGGTCAAAAAGTGAATAAATAGGTCAACTGCTCCATAAAAATGGAATACAGAGGATATGTGGCTAGGACTTGGACTCCAGAGCTCTAAATTAAGCACATTAGCAAAGACTGCTATGAATTACTATTTATTCTTAAGCATTTTGATGGTCTTTGTCCTCCTTGAAAACTAGTTTCTGGTTTAGACCAAGAAAGGAAAGGCAAAGGAAGTGCCCTAGCTCTTGGCAGCTGCAGAAATCCATCACTCTGCTGAGATCCTGGAAGTGCAAAACCTCAAAAACAGAGGGATGGGGGGTAATAAATGACAAAAATACAAAATAAAATAAAAAAGGAACTCAGCAGGAACAAAAAAAATATATGAATGACTCTCACGGTCTCAAGGACAAGCCCACATCTGAGACAAGGGAAACATTCAGGACTGCATAGGTGACAGCAAATTTCACAATACTTCCCAAACACAGCAACAAAAAGAGTTTAGGACTCTTCTGTAATAAATACGTGACAGCTTGTGTCCTTATGCTTTAAAAAAGGAAGGCAGAGCTTTTCTTCCCTCTGACCCAAGGCTGTAGAATGACGCTGTGACCACGTCCCATAGGTCTTTGCAGGGAGACATATAGGGGAAAGCTCCAAGCACTCAACACTCAGTGCAGGACTTTTTTCTCCATATTACACACCACAAGCACATCACCTGTCTTCCGTAGCTCTCCATAAAGGTGAGAAAGAATTAAAAAAGTCTCTCTTAGTAAAAAATTGTACTCCTGAAAGGGCAAAGGAGAGGAGTCTTGCTCCGAACATTTCTTCATTTTGTATAAAACTTTTCCCTTCTGTTTGAGAACAGTTTACTGTGGCCAATAAAAGCCCAGCTAATTTTTAAATCAGCATGTAGCCAACTCAGCCACCCAGTAGCTCTGTCCTTGGGCAATATTATTGAAGCACACACAATCTATACTAAAGTGATCAGCTTCCCTCAGGCCTGCCAAGGGGATGCGTTAGGCGAGCCCAAAATATGACAGAAGGAAATTTATGTGCAACTTTTACACATAATATCTCATTATGACTCTCCCCAATCTTTCAATTTTAAAAATAAACGGCCTTTGTAATGATTTTACCAGGAGCATGTTGGAAGGTAGATTGAAAAAGGAAAGTGGCTTTGGCTACAGTTATTTCTTTTGCTCTTCTCCTCCTCTTGGGTTTTTCTTTAATTTTCCTGAAGATATTTCCACTCAATTTAGGAAGAAATGGAATTTCCCCCTCCCTACCACCGTTCTCTCACTGTTTTGTCCATGTTTTCAAAGAACGGAATGGCTGACTTAATGAAGCCTCTGTCAATAGCAAAATCATTTTGACCGGTTGGTAAATAATGAAAGCTTCCACTTAACGTGCAAGCCAGCTTACCCAGGACACCCACACTTGGTCCCTGTCCAGGTCAGCAAATCGTCATCCCCTGTGCTGTGCACATCTCCGAGCACTGCCCTGCAGCAGCGAGAAATGAGAGCTCAGCTGGGACCTGAGCTGATGCTGCTTTGTCAGGAAGCACGAGGGACTTGGGAGAGTTGGTTACACAACGATGCCAGCTGCTGCTCACAGCGTGAGCCCAAAGAGGAATTGAAGAAAGATGGAATAAAAGAATATGTACAAATAAGGAAGGGACAAGCAAGCAAACCAACCAACCGACAACGAAAACCAAAGAACAGTGATATCGATCTGCAAATAAACAATGGCCAGAGCAATTCTGCACAACCCAGTTTGATGAGGAAAGGGCAGTGCAGCACATCAGTCCTTCCCCACTGACATACCAATTGTCGCATGTGCTTTTCTAATGTTTCATTGTGGGTATCAGCAGGGATGACTTCATGCGCTATTCCTACCCCACAGACCACAGCTCGAGAAGCCACGAAAGGAACATATACCTGAAGTGAGAATCAGTTATAAGCATTTTTTGGGAACGATCTTCTCTTAGGGGGTAAGAAAAACAAACGAAAGTGGGTTGTTCTCAAAGTGGAAAGCAGAATTGCTGCCAAAGTACACTGACTGGTGGAAAAAGCTTTCCCACTGCGGGTTGATGGGCAAAAGACCACTATCAGGCAGTGAGAACTGGGGCAAATGTAAAAATATCCTAATCTGCACACACAAAATATTTGCTGCTCCACAGTACTGCAGTTTCCCATTGTACTGCACCATATTTTGTTTATACCCAAAGTCCCCAACAGTCTTCTTGGGAGACACAAAAGTTTATGCCTGTTCTCCTCCAGCTTGTCCCTTCCCCACTCTGATGTCCATGCAAGGGCAACCTGAGCACCCTATCGAGCTATGGATGTCCCTGTTCACAGCAGGGGAGTTGGACTAGATGGCCTTTAAAAGTCCCTTCTGACTCAAAGGGACTGTTACACTGTTCAGCTCTCAGGAACTTGTGAAACCAGCAGCATAAGCACCAAAAATACTGAAGAACCTTCTGGAGGTTCCTATTTACCCCATGGATCCCCTCACCCCTGCAGTGAGCCCATCCACACCTGCCCTTATAGGGTCAGCAGGGCAGTCTTGTCCTTTGGCTCACCTTCAGCTCTGTCTTCTCCCTGAGGACAGGGGTATGAATTAGTTCTGCAATTCCAGGCAGACCATGAGAAGCCTTGAAGCTGGATGCTGAAGTATGTAGGAAGAATGTATATATATTTAGTAAATGGCCATGAAAAAAATAACATCAGAAAACAGAGAATGGAATAAAAAATACATTCTGGAGAAGACTGTGTATTTTTGTTGTATTTATAATACAGTAAATCTCTATTTGAAGGGATCATTTGATTTAGGTAGGACAAATTTCACCACATTCATTCTCTGAGAGAAAGGCTGAGGTTAAAAGGCTGATGCTCAGGTGCCCATTCCATGCTACCCAGAACAACTGGAGGTGAAAACTGAACCCAGCTTTCCCCAGGGGGGATTTTACAAAAGAACACAATTCTTACACTCATCCCAGCAAAGCTCTGGAGAAAATGGTATTTAACAGATGTAGTCTTCCAATGGAGGGAGGAAACACAGCATGCTGAATACCTGGAAGTATCTAAATGAGAAGTCAGAGCAAATGCTGGCCAATGAGAATTGTTTGTTGCAGTTTCACCACGATCCCTGATTGAGAAGGGAATGAACCAGAATTGTTGCTGTCAGTAACACTAAAAAAATAAAAATAAAAAAAATAAAAACACAACAAAAACACTGGATAAATTAACCTTAGGAAAAAGAGGCAGAAAATCATTGGGGGGTTGCTGAGGGTTTCTATTTCTTGAGAGACATAACATTGCCAAAAGAATCCTCAGGGCTGTAGCTTCCCCCACTGTAAAATAGGCACAAACCATCAGGTTAATGAAATTTCATTTAATCTTAGGCACTGCTTCAAGTTCAGCATCTGCTGTGGACGCACAATGAGCATGACAGTATGACAGAACTTCAGTCTGAGCTCAGTTTGAGCATCTCAGGCCGTGCACAAAACATACGGCAGGAAAACACCTGAACGCTTAGCATCCAGGGTGGAACCTTGCAATTGCACAGATTGCAGTAAATATGTGTTTGTGTTATATTATAATTGTCCAGCTTTTAAATTAAACAGCACAACAATTAGCACGTGGCTGTTCTCCATGCACTTTAAACATCCTTCGCATCACTAAGCGCTTTACATGGGAAATTCTTACACCTTTGTCTGAACAGATTTAAAGCAATCTGCCCCAAGTCTTTCCAAGCTTCTTACATCTTCAGGCACTACCTTCATTCTTTCACTGATTCCTGGGGAAATTCAAACCTTGGGCTCATCCAAACTCACTTTTCCTTCTGTAGAGAAAAAAGTTTCCCTAATGAGTTCATACTGTGGGATCCATCCCTGCAGAAGTTGGGCTACCTTTAAAATATTGTTCAGGTAAGTTATAAAAAATGAAGATCTATTCATTTCTAAAGCCTGACTAGGAAGTTCCAAATTTAAGAGCATTAAAAGGGCAAGAGGCTGGGAGAAAGGGCAGAGAGAGTAAAGCACACTGTGTGGCTTTCGGTACCTTTTTTTCCTCTTCTGTCAGAAGCCTTGGGTCCCAGACCAGTGTCACACTTCTAACCCATCAGGTAGAGCACAGCAGAGACCTCGTCCAGCCACTTGGCCACAGCATGCTGTTACCTAAGGCAGCCAAAAGTTCAGTGACTGCCTGTGGTTTCAAATCCCAGAACCCATAAAGCACAAATACAGGTTCTCTATGTGAGGCTGTGACCTCTCTGCTCACCAATAAAACATGCCCAAAGTCATAATAAACAAAGCATTACGATTCAGGGTGGCAAGGCATAAACCAGTCATACGTATTTTCTCCCTGGCCACAAGCAAATCTTCGCCTTTACCAAAAACTACCTCGGTGCACTAAGTTAGCAAAACAATTCTGATTACAACATAGGTTAAAAAAAATAAAGTCAAATAAACTTAACCTAAGGTTTCTCATGGGATTTTTTATGTTCTTGTTGTTGCAGAGCAGAATAAGGGCCAGAACAAACACAGAAGGGACACAAGTGTGATAATATAATGATACCTTTTATTAGCTCAAAGAAGAAAAAAGAATAACAGAGCTTCGCATATATCAAAGGTCCTTTTTCTTCACTTTCAGGATGCAGAAAGGGAAAAACCACAGTTTGTGTATTCCTGACAATACTCATCTTGTTAGCAGCGTGAACTCATGTTGCAGGCTTTTCATTTCTCTGGATAGCCTGCAAAGGGGAGGAAGGGGAAAAAAAGGAGTTGCTTTGTAGGAACCGAAGGAACTGACATCTGGTTTTACAACAATAAAATTTTTCAGGTCATACTTAACAGCATGAATAATAAACTGAAAAGAGTTGCTGGCTACTTTTGGTGTAGCAGTGTGGTAACCTTGTTAGGCTGTTGTCCATGAGCTGCCTACGGAGCTGCAGCAGAGCACACAGGGAAGAAGCAGGGACAGACTGACAGGAAATACTCATGCAGGACATGAAGGTGCTGACATCACAGCCAAACAAAGACATGTGCTGCCGTCCGTCTTCAAAGTACAAGGTGAAGAAGTTGGAGAAACAAACAAAAATATACAAAACATACAAAAACAAAAAACAAAACAAAACAAAAACCCTCCAGCAAAGCCAAGGAAAAGCAGCAGCACTCAGGAGATGAACCTGTGGATAAAAGAGATGTGCTGGCAGCCCGCTGTCTGCTGGCTGTTACCAGGTGCAGCAGAGTTGATGCAGCGGATTAATGATTTCTTTTCCATCCTCTTACATCTTTGTCAGCCCCTGCCACCATTTATTACAGCATCCTTACTTTGCTACTCAGGCTGACAGAAGGGGAATAAACTTTAGCCTGCAGGCGTTTTCAGAAGAAATTATCTTTTCCCCAGGAATGGGATCCTAGATGTGGTAATAGCTATCTCTCCCAACAGTTCATGACACTTGTAGCAGATACTTTTTCCCTGGGTATTTCATATATGCCCACCTACACGTAGACAGATCCGTTCTACTGCGAACATCTGTTTTTCAACTGTCAGATAGTATTTTAGAGTGTTAGGCTGAAAAAATATATTAAAAGATCTATCACTTACATTGATTTCAAAGCATTAAATTTTGACATCTTTGGTGCAGACAGACTGAGAAGCTTAAAACGGATTTATCATATGAGAAATAAAGTCCATTTCACCCTTTCAAATGGGATCTCAAGAACTTCCTCAAGGAACAGTGGCATATTTTTTCAGTTGATTACGACAACAAAGGGGTCTAATAAGATTTAAAGTGATTGGAAAGGAGGAGAAATCTCTAAAGGAGATTTCAGGACATAGGCAAAGCAAGATGGAGAGAGGGACCTTTCCTATCATTTATCTCTCTTGTTAATACCCTCCCACCTTCACTTAGTGCAAACCTTGCGTCCAGTCACTTGACTTCCCTCAGTATTTGTGTGTATTTACATATAGCAGAAATGCAGTAAGAGGAAGCATGAGGAGCCTAATGCAAGACTGGGAGGCAGCCAGCACAATACTGGTGGAACAAGTGAGAAATTGTCAGCTGAGCAGCTCCTTCAAAAGCTGGGGATGGATGCTGCAAACATCTGAAAAGACAAAGAGGAAGGGAGATCAGCACAACGTAGAGACTGCCAAAGCTCATAGATAAGTCCCCACCTTATAGATAACTGGTTTGGGGCTGCAGCACTGGCTTTTGACCTCACATCTATGTTAAGCAATGCTGATGAAATATGATGCATTTTTGTAGTTTTCTTTCTCCTCTTTCCCCTCTTCCCCCATGCATTACTCTGCAGCAGAGGCATAAAAGAAAAAGGACAGAAATAGGTACTTCTAGAAGGAGCAGTCACTGTGCTCCTAGTACGCAAGGCATCACTGGAGGAAGCCAAAGCACCAGAATGTCCCACCCCAGCAGGGCTGTGCACCACCATGCTGAAATCCAGCACCAGGCCCCATCCCGCTGAGCTCCAGCATGCTGGGATGAACCTTGATGAATTATAAAAGCAGCTCCAGAGAATTTGGGAAAGCTCCACAGCATCGCCTGGACCAGGATGCATCTACATGTTCTCAAAGGAGGAAAATTTGCTGATGTTAGATGAGCCTTTGTTGACTCAGAGATACTCAGATGTGAGCAGGACGAGCGCCCACAGACTGAGAGCCAGCATTTACAGTGTGCCTTCTGGTCCAGGCCAGGGCAGGCAGAGAGGGAGAATCACGCATGGGGTTGACCACCTCTATCATCCCAACAGCTTTGTGACAGCAGCCAGAAGAGGGGACAGAACAGACCAAAGAGCTTTTGCTTTCTTCCTGATTGCTTTTCTGCATATCTGTTGCTCTCCTTCCAACCACTGAGCAAGCTACTGTTGGTTCTGGTCTTTTCAGGGTTATTTTAATGAATTGCACAGCTTTCATTAAAGATATACTCTGCCACTAAGGCAAGCATGAAAAAAATGGCCTCTTGCAGAAGAATTACCACTGGTACACGAATACCCCAAGAACGCCAGGTTGCAAAGTACCTGCTTCAGAGATAGTCAGCACGTGGCAAACTTCATGGGGCACAGACCACGGACATACTTTCTTCAACTTTTTTGCCACAGCCAGCTTCACAGGACAAATGTTTCTGAAGACAAGGATGTTGCTTAGATTAGTCTGTCAGCAGCAGCTTTTGGAATTGCACTTTACCTAGGCCTAAACATAAACGTTGTTACTCTTTACAGAAAACAGATTGGCAAATAAGGGGAAACAGTTTCATTAGCAGGTTTTGCCTTTTTTTCCCCCCCTCTATCATGAAAGATACCAAATGTGTCAAGAATCTAGTTTGCCTGTCCTCACATTGCTACATTTGTGAAAGACGTACCCCACTTAGATGACAGCCAGGATTGGCCTTGATCCAGGAAATGCAAAAAGAAAGGAAAATATGAGTGATCTATACCACTATTTATTGTAGCAGCTCTGGGTCATTCCACAGGTCAAATATTTGCTTTATTGGATTATCAGCGAATATATGTATGCGTCTCACACACACACTGGGCAGCTTCTTGTCTCTTTCGCTCTGGCTTATGGGCTAGGTGGCAAGAACACTCCCCTTCTTTCCCATGGCAGAGCATGGACAGACAGCTTTGCCCCAGCATCCAAGTAGCCCTAAGTTCCTCATCATGCTCCATCCAATGGGATCCTATTAACTGCAACAGCAGCTTCGTTCCCCTTGCAGCAATACACAGGGGTAACTGGACACCAGTCACCACCCCAGCTATGAAAATCAAAGACAAACCTCCCCTCCCTGGAAGGAGTAGATGCCCTAAATCTCTGTCACTAGCGCAGCTCTTTAAGAGCACAGTAATTCTCCACCAAATTGAATCTTCTCTGACAATTGGCAGCACATCAGAGACAATTCACAGGCATATTTTTTCCCCTTTCCTAACAGGAAATAGGGCTTGTGTTACATTTACAGTGACCTGGAGCTCTGAGGGCAGAGTCATATCTCACCTAAACAAACAGACAGTATTTCTTCCCCGATTAAGGCAGATGGGCTGAAAGAGAGAAGCGCTGTGGCCAGCTGCCCACAGCAGCCCTGCAGGTGTCAACAAGGTGCAAACCTGCAAACACCAACACAAACATCCCCAGACACGAACAGCACTTCAGAAGGTTTGGATCGTAGTTTTCATTATAACTAAATGATTATTTTACCATTTCCCATGGACTTCTGTGTGGTTCGGACCGGGGTTTCACCACTCAAGCCATGCTAGTATGGTAAAGGATGCTCAGTGTTCCTGCTTATGCTAAACCCCTGCTTGGAGTCTGTGGAATTTTCCCAGGAGGTTCCCACTTACCTCTGTGGAGACAGGGAGATCATCCCAGGCTCCATTTGTAAGATAGGTAAACTCGAAACTGTGAAATGGCTCCGAGGGACAATAGCTTGCAACAGATGTCACAATTGTTCAATAGAGAACCTTCAGAAATTATAAATTACACGTTCTTGCTTGTAAGACAAATAGCATTCAGATACCATTTCGTTTGGATTTCCCCCCAAATAGAGTACTGTATCTTTTGCCCATAAGCAATGCCCCATTTAGTCCTTGAAAACTCAGAGAAACAAGTGAACCCTGGTGGGGAAATCTACTGATTACGAAACTCCATAGCATACACGCATCACACTAAATATGCACATAAAAAGCAGAAGTGAGAAGGTCCAGTTTCACTCCCATACACTCAAAACATCCAAGGCACCATAAAAATCTGCACTCTTCACAAAAATCTGTTTGTTTCATAAATATCTGCACGCTTCAGCTGCTTGCAGGCCATGTACCACCAAAAACCTGACTCAGCTCAGCAGCACCCACTTCCCTGACACACAGGAGCTTTGCATTAGATCCTTGGTTTCCCCCAGTGCACAAACTTTAGAGCTGAAGGCAATAAGTCTCTCAACCTCACAGATTTTCATTTTTGCCAGACACCATGAAGAAGCAAAAACTCTGCAGCTTCTCTCCTGCAGGTCTTTGCCCCTGTGGTAATAAGGGAATCAGGCAACAGCTGAAAGCAGAGAAAAAGCATATACTGGACTTTTGAGAGTCAGCAAAAGCCTAGCTTTTTGGCAAAAAAAAACCAAACCCAAAACACAAACAAAGCCACAGGATAGTGGAAGGAGAGGAGAAATCCAAAGTGGGATAAATGTGTTTAGCAGAAGATATTCTCTTAGGGAGCAGCAGAGCGACAGGCGAGGGAGCAATACTGCTGGAATGACTTGTTTTAAGCTGTTGTTTTGGCTTTGTCAACGCAACCACAAGTCTGATCACGTTAAGAACAGACCTCTCTCTCTGGCTATTTCCAGGAATCAGCCATCACCAGCTGACAGGAGAACAGCCTCAGCACTGTGGCAGGCCAGTCTCAGTAGGTCTGAGGTTCTTGGTTCATTATTTTTGCAAGGGAAACAGCTGTTGACCTTAGGATTTGCAGTGCAACTCATTGTCATGGCACTGAATGGAGGTATTTAGGATGATCATATCTGTTTACAGTAACAGTTACGAAACATCCCCTACGTGTTTCACTGTTAGGTGGAAAAGCAGTGTGCCAGTCAGACGTCACTGCTGCTCATCCAGATGCTCCACAACCACCCCCTTCAATGCATCTCCTAGTCCAGTACTGAACTTGGGAAAACAGTCGCATTTCAACCCCTTAAAACTACTTCAGGGGCCCCCAAAAACTCCTGCTGAAGCTCAGAGTGAAACCCTATGCCAGCCTCAAACAAGTGAGAATTTTCTGTGACTGTGTCCTGTGGTTTCAGCTGGTTTTGCAATTAAGTTTGCGTCCTACTTTCATTCTGAATTTCAGCTGATGCCATCTTCAGCTCAGACAAATCAGAGGCTTAAAGCGAAACTCAAGGCCATACCAATCTCTCCTCTGAGCTAACTGTTGCCCTACTCTAGTTTTCCTCCTCCTTTTATTCTCTTCCCCTTCTCATTCAGAGCAAACCCTCCTGTAAGTCCCTGCAGTTTACTTTTGGAGCTACCTCCTGAGGACATGGAGACAGCTGCAAGCTTCTCCTTTCACGTGCACACTGAGCAGAAGCTTTGCTTCCAGTCCTCGTGCGTTTCTGAGAATAAAAAGGCACTGCGTTCCCTGCCAAAGGACCTTACCAGCCATGAGTCCCAGAACCAGCAGTGGGCTGGCTGCCCCACCAGCTCAGGCTGCCCACAGCCCATCCAACCTGGCCATGAGCACCACAAGGGATGGGGCACCCATAGCCTCAGGCAGCAGTGCCAGGGCCTCACTGTCCTCTGGTGAAAAAAGAGCTTCCTCATATCTAACCTAAATCTTATTTTAAAACCATTCCCCCTTGTTTAATCGCTATCATCCATGCAAAAAGTCACTCTGTCACCTGTTTATAAACTCCCTTCAGGCACTGGAAGGCTGCAGCGTGGTCTCCCCAGAACCTTCTCTTCTCCAGGCTGAAGAAGGCCAACTCACAGCCTGTCTTCACAGGAGAGGTATGAAAAGCAGTAAAGATAAACAAGCATTAAAATGAAAGAGAGTGGTCAAGTGCATGCTGAAGGGCTTCAGAGCTTTCCAGGAGTCCAAAGCCACAAAGCTGAAATCTGGCCTAACGTTGACAAAGCAGGGGTCACGAGAGGAGGCCGCACGCTCGTGCCGAAGTTATGCAGATGCAGTTATGTGCTTTTGTTTTCACAGTTAAACGTGTAGCCTCCATCTGTGTAAACAAGCAGCAAAGCAAGCTGACATTGCAGGGAAAATACAGTAGAGAGAAAGAGAGCTGAGCAGGTCTTGGCTACAGAGCAAAGAAACTCAATGGGATTAGGGCTCCAACTCAGATGTGACCTCATCCTCCAAAGCACACGAAGGAAGAGAACAGACATCCTGCAAAAGGAGGAGAAAGAGGAAAGACCCTGAAAGGTACCAGCTAGGCCAGCAGCACGACCTGTGAGAACTCAATTGGATTTTAATGCAGTGGGCAGCATGCCCAGAACTCCAGTAATGCTCTGTGTTGTACGCGGTGTTTCAGAGCTCTGCCTTCAGGGTCCAGAGCCATCACAGCTGGAGGGAAAGCTCTGCAGGAACCCCACACTGCGCAGCCAGTAAATAAATAAACCTCAGTGCCTTCACATATTTGTAGGGGTTTTGTTATTAATGGTTAGGTGCACTAAAAAACTAGCAAAAGCCACTTCCATGCAATCAGTACTCATTATATATCAGCATTTCAGGGTTGGACAAGACAACCTCCACTCTGTGACTACCTTTCTGGAAATACATCAGCTTCTCATCTGCTGTCTCCCATCCTGCCTTGTTTTCTCTTAGCCAATATTCTCTATCACTTTCTTCCTTCTCCTATGAGTTTTACAGTGACTTTCTCCTTTCAGGACAGTTTCATACACAGCCATAGGAACAAAAACAAAGGAAACAAGCTGCTTACCTTCAGAAGGCCTTGGGTATAAAGGGAGCAATATACCCTTGCCTTCACTATCAACCCTTAAATCAGGTCTTCTAACCCTTAAATGGATCCTAGCTCCACCCCCTCCAGTCACTGCATTACAGTGCATGCAGCTGAGCTTTCCTGGGTTGGCCCAGCCTTCCCACCCACCAGGTGCTCAATCACTGCTTCAAGCTGTGACTCGGCATTTTTGCTACAGACAGCCACAGAAAGCTCACCATGCCTCAATAAAAACTTTTCCTTAAACTTCTGACAACCATAACAGCTTGCCCAACTAATGTGGTTCTTAAAGAAGTGATTAAAAGAGAAATCAGATTATCAAATCCTGGGAAATCCAAGAGCACGTCGGGATCTGCTTAGACTGCAGGGCACGAGTGCTGCACCACTGGAGTGTCTGGAGTGCCTCTTTCCTAGCTGCAAGCATGGGGTCATGTGTGGCTTTCATTTTTTTAAAGCTATTAGGCAACAACAGATGAAAAAAGACTTCCCCTTACCCATATAGACATACACCACTCTAATCAGACCAAAACCAGACAGTGTGGGTAGCCTGGAAGGCCAGCTACATTCTGGGCTGCACTAAAAGAGGAGTGGCCAGAGGGAGAGGATTGCCCACCTCTTCTCAGCTGGTGAGGCACCATCAAAAGTTCTGTGTCCAGGCCTGGGGCCCCCAGTACAGGGAGGACATGGAGATCTTGGAGCAGGTCCAGATCTGGGCACCTCTCCTATGAGAAAAGGTTGAGAGAACCAGGCTTGTTTAGCTTGGAGAAGGCTCCAGGAAGATCTTGTTGTGCCATTTTGATATTTGAAACAAATGTATAAACAGGAGGGAGAGCAACTGTTTACAAGGGTGGATAGTGATAGGACAAGGGAAAATGGTTTTAAATTGAGACAGGGGAGGTTTAGGTTAGATATTAGGAGGAAGTTCTTCACCCAGAGGGTGGTGATGCAGTGGAACAGGTTGCCCAAGGAGGCTGTGGATGCCCCAGCCCTGGAGGCATTCAAGGCCAGGCTGGATGTGGCTCTGGGCAGCCTGGTCTGCTGGTTGGTGACCCTGCACACAGCAGGGGGTTGGAACTGATGATCATTGTGGTCCTTTTCAACCCAGGCCATTCTATGATTCGGTTCTACAAACTATGAATAACAGCAGTGATTTATGTGACCAATCTGGTACAGGCAATATGCAAGGCATAAGTAATATCCCAATGTTGTCATCTCTCTTGTCATACTATTAATAACAATCAAGAATTCAGTAGGTTCCTCTCTCATATCCCAGCACAGAATATTTGCATAAAGAAAGCACATAAAAGTAATTGAACAAATATGCTCATAGACTGCATATACGAGAGTTTAAGCAAGCTATGGGTCTATATTTGTACTCTTATCCTTTTACCTGTGTCCACAAAACCCAAAAACACCAAAGAAGCAGTTTCAGTGAAAAATCAAGTCACTTCTGAAAACTTGGAAGTCGGAATGAGATGGCGTTTCACACTTCCCAAATACGAGGGGTTTGTGTTGCCAGCATACGTCTGCAAAGAACCAGCCATGTGCTCCGTTCTTTTTATACCTCTGAGCTGTGTAAACGCTTCAAAACTGGAGGGCACACGTCACTTACACTGACGTGCAAATCATTACTGCTTTGCCAGGAAATCTGTGTAAACCAATGCTGAGTACAGGTTCATTCTATCGACATTTTCACCAGTGAGTAAATTGGAAGGTTGCATTGCTGACATACCAGATGTTATGCAAACTGCTTTTCAAACCAAGGTTTCCATTTATCCCTACAAATACATAAATTAGACACCAATGGTGTATAAATGTATTGTATTTAAATATGGTAAATCACCCATTTACATACATGCAACAAAAACTACTGTGTGTAAACTCTACACCTCACACAGTGTCAAAACTTCCTTTTTCACCCAGTACTTTTCATTTTCCTGAAAATAATGTCATCTGTGTAACTGTTTTCCCCCAAGACCAACTGTTCTTCAGAGTAAGAACATTATATGAAAGCCTGCATGCCTGAATTAGCACATGGCATTATCAATGGGAGCTGAGCACCCAAGTGGGAGTGAGGCTGCCAAGTATCTTGAAAGATAAGAAGTTAGGTGTGTACAAGACTCGTTCAGTACGTGCCAACTTTAGGCACACCCAAGCTTTTAATGTGGATTGGTTCCAGTTTTGATGTAGTCTTGGGGTACTTTGACCCATCTCTAATAACAGAAATAAACAAAACACTACTTGTCCAATGAGACTGTTATTTTGAACTGGTTCTCCTTTCATAGTGATGCTGATTAGGACTGACCTCATACTTCCAGTCTCAACGAAGCACATGGAAGCACAGAGAAGGGAAGCATAAAAGTTAACCTTACTGTGCTTCATTAGTCTCAAGACTAACAGAGGGTAGGGCCGACTCCAGCTAAGCTTACAAATACCTTCAAGTATCTCAGCTGCATTAGTGCACATACAGTCAACAAATGAAGAGTTGAAAAGAGCATTGCAGAGAGATGGCAAAAGAACAAAAAGAGAAGAAATGCTCACCTATATCCAAAAATTAGGTGCACAATGAAAAGCTCTACAGAGGAGGGATCCCCAGAAAAAAATCCTTCCCCAGTGGTAGTCAGCCCTTAAATGGGGTCTAGGAGAGGTGGAACGTGTTCCACCCCTTTCAGTCACACAGCAGAATTGCCTTCACCTGTGCCCCACAGCTCACCCAGTCCTTGCCTCAGTGATCAGTAGTGGTTCAGGCTGTGACTCAACAGTTACCATACATTGTAGGCAGAGAAAAGGTGTTCAGTCCTTGCTCATCCAGGTCTCCCACCACGATCTTATCTCCAGGTGTACCTTGTAGCGCCAGTGAGTTCTTGCCATATTTGCAATGTGTGAATCTATTCTGGTGTAAAGCAAGCAAACCAGATTCATTTCCCAAATGTCTAGATGCAGAGAAATGAAACTTCTTGGAACGACAACGATGCCTTCTGCCAGTTGTCTCATCTCCTAATCAAAGTAATGTCATAACACATCAGCTTTTCTGCAGTACTTTATTTGCATTCAATACGCAGATGCAGAATGTTTTCAATACACTCCAGAAAACTCCTCCAAGCTGGAAGAAGCCTTGATCAATTCAGAGCCTTCTCAACCAGCTGAGACACAGGACTGTGTCTTTCCCACTTTATAATTCTTCACTGAGTGCTCAGACTGAAATTGTTTCATAACCACATGAATTTGGAGTTTTCATTTCACCCTTGGAAGAAATGTAGAGTCTGGCACGGTGACAAGTATAACAGTGTGTAAAAGCACAATTAACTGGTGCTCCCACCCCATTTTTTTACATTTCTGAGGAAGCTCTGAGATTTCAGAGTGATTGTTTTCACTTCAGAGCCAGCAGCACACGGTCCCTTCACTTCATCAGCTGGGCACAGGCATCAGCTCCTGTCCACAGCTGTGCCCCGGCAGCGGGCTTCCTAACCAAGAGAGGAAGGGAGAAAAAAGTCAAAACGGAGTTACATGTGGAACAAACACTATTAGACATAATAAAAACAACACAGCCCCACTTTGGAACTGTGAAAGCGAGGTACCTGAGTGACAGGGAGAGCACGGCTGCACCTCACAGCTCATTTCAGACGTGTGCAACTCCTGGAGCCCAGCTCGGACTGCTGGGTCAAGTAGAATGAGATGAAGAGTGTGCTCCCATATTTTTTCCACTGGGAAACACCAACTTTGAAACTCTTCACGGAAATGTATTAGATGGTGCTTTATCCAGTTGCTAAAAAATTAAAAAAAAAAAAAAAAAACAGAAAAAAATCAGAAAAAAAAATCTCAAAGCTGCAGAAACATTTTCAGATTTTGGGCAAATTATTTTTTTCTTTGTATAAGCAACTTTTCACTTCAAAATCTGAATTTGTTTATCCATAAACATTAAGGACCCCAGAGAATAAAGATCAAACACAAACTTTTGATAGGATTGGGTTAGAGTATCTCAGAAGATTTCAGCATCTGGTTTGCCAAGTATTTTGAGATCCTGAATTCTCAATTCATCGTGGTAAAAGAAAGATGGGTGAAAAGAAAATGGTTTCAAACACATCACACTGATATCTCAGCAGTGAAAATTTCTATGAACTTTTGTATCTTTTTCACTTTCCAAAGGTGACTTTGTTAGAGCAGCATTAAATGTAAGTGCTCTCAGAATATTGCTCTATCTGCCTGATTTGTTGTATGAGGGTCAGACTTCATGGTTTCAGAATGAAGGAGCGCTTTTAGTAGTTTAAGGATGTCAGATGAGCAAGGCAGAGGTTATCTGTGCTGAACCTGGATGCTGCATCCAACCACTGCTATGAACGTGGCTCCATGGTGGCTCTGGTTTGCTGCCACTTGCATCCAAGTGACAGCATGTGGAACATCTCACCTTGCTCCTGATGACAGCAGACCCTCCCAGCTCTGTGTCCTCTTCCAATATATCTAAACAATGCTCTGTTCACCCTTTTACTGCCCTTTCTTGGCAGCTACAGGCAGATATCTTACCAACTAGTGCTACTGCAGGCGAGAGGTGCTTTAAGGCCCTAGTAGTCTTGAGGCAAAACACAACCCCAGAGTTTATCTTAAATTCTTAAATTCTCCTGAAGTTTGTTTTAGATACCACTGGCTTCTAGGGGAAAATAATTTAAACTGATACCAAGCAGGCTGCCACTTCAGAACCGCCTTCCCTGAGATCACGGATGGCACGAGGCACCAGGCAGGTTTCAGATTTCCAGCAGCGGTCAATAGCACAACGTATGGTTTTCCCTTACCACCAACACCATAAAGACATTCTGCCAGACACAATCATCTCTAACCAGCCTGGCAACCCAGAAGCTATCCTAAGCACTTGGTTTGAAGAGCCTGGCTGCAAAAAGAGGAACAGCCAGCTGCAGGAACGGATAAAATTGCATTGAAAAGCAGAACAAAACAACGCCATGCCAAGGCTTTGATAACTCTTTTTCACAAGCCCACAGCCAGCTCTGTGCAGGGCTTAAAGACCATTGAAATAAATAAATAGAGAAGTAAAAGTATTCCGCCACTCCTAACAGTTGCAGTAGGCACGGATTTAAAGCACTGCACACTTGATACCCACAGGAAAGGGATGGGGATGGGGTGGGTTTTATGTCATGAGGTTTTGTTCTGTAGATTCTGACTTTCTTTCTTTTTTTTTTTTAATCCATTGTTCATTTTTAATGGAGTTATACCAAAACACCCTCAAGATCTGCAGTGGTTTGCACCTGTGGTTAGCAGGCTAAATAGTAGCATGTTTTGTTTTCCATGTAGCATTAGAGATGAGAGGGCAAGATCATGGTTTGGTTTTACAAGACTTGGAGGGGCACTTAGGGCCCATAGAGCCCCTGTTTGGCTGCCTAAAGCCTCCTCAGGTTATGAAGTAACGTGGAAGGCTTGTAATAACAGCTGGTGACCAACACATATGTATTTTTTTCATTAACCACTTTAAAGTCACTTCAAATTCCATAAGGTTTTTACTTAAAATTTAAAGAAATATTAAATTAAGACAAACAATTACATGCAAAAAAAAGGAGGTAGAACTTCTCATGCGACCAAAGAAGCAAGGCAGACAGCTTTTCAGTTCACACGCTTCCTGAAGACAGTTTGTTTTGGATACACTCAAACAACCTTTACAAATATTTTTGCTAAATGTTTTTAGAATTGTCAGAAAACAAAAATAGTCCATTATTCACATAGCTTTGCTCGTAAGTTCCATGATTACAAAGGACACAACTCACATGTCCTGCAACAGCTGTATTCCATCTAATTCACCTAGTTCAGCTTTGGTTTCCTATTGGTTTGGCAACCCCGAAGATCTAGAATATGTTGTGGATAACATTAGGCACGAGAACACAGGTAGAGTTAAGGCTGCCTGAAAACAGCCTTGAATTCAAAGAAATTTTCCATCTGCTGCTGCCCTTCCAGGAATAGTGCCACTCTACTCTTCCTCTTCCTCCCCTTCCACCAAGAATTGTGTTCAAACGGCAGATGGGCTCTGCAAATGGCAATGAAATGCACACGTTCCATATGCATCACAGTGCTACTAAGGAATAAGGCAGGACTGATACCAGATGAAGGGAAAGAGAAGTGCACCAAGGAAAAAAAACTCCTTGGTGTGATGGAGTGATGAGTCAACTGACTCCTCAGAAAGACAGCAATGAGATGAGATGCTCTGGTGTCAAGAGGAGATATGATTCACAGCAAAATTCACATGAAATATGAGCCCAGGACCCAGTGTTCCCTGCCATCTCTGGGGATGACAGAGTGCTCACGAGGGTTTCACCAGGAGGAAACTCAGTTTGATGTATGTGGTCACCTCTTTCCTGGAATGCATGGCTGTCATTCATCAGGAAAAGAAGAGGAACTAAATGTGACTATACAAAATCTGTGCTTTCTCGTAAACCTTTTATGCAGTTGTGTATTTAAATCCAAACTCAGCTGTGGAGCTTGCTTTGTGACTTACGTTCAGTATCTGTGACCATCACTGTTTGGTCCCAGACCTCTCCATTGCAATAATGACTGCTGTAACACTGAAGGCTGAATCACACTCTGCCCAAGGAGCTCAGTACCTAAATGCAGGGCAAGAGAGAGACAGAAAGAAACAAGCAAGAAATAAGAGAGATCTGTGAGACAATCATGGGAAGCAGTAATCTCAGAACATCATGCTCCCCAGCACTGACAACCCCTTCTATAAGCATCATGGCAAAGGAAAAGTTTCATTCCCTTACACAAAAAATAATCTATATTTTGAGTGTTTTGTTATAAATTTGTGATTCATGTGATCTCTGAGTTGAGAACAAACATAGGTTACCTTAACATACAAATAACTCATAGGATATTTATCTTCCGGCTTGTTCTCCCAAGCAATTTTATAATACACACACACACACACATATTTAATTATATGCTTTAAATGCACTGGCATTCATGCTGTGCCTGACCCTCATTATGAAAATACATCTGGGTAGAATGGATGTTTTTATAAGACAGAGTTTTTGGTTATGGACATGATGTTGTAACTGTTTTTAGCTTGTGAGGTTACAAGTCTGCGCTGTATCTGCATTAGGAAGAAAGATCTTTCATATATGAAAATAAAGTTGACAAAGAAACATTAGATGATCTCTCAGATCATCCAGCTCTCAGCTGTACTTGGTGGAAATAATCCAAATAATGTCAGTAGAGGCAAGTACTAAATATAGACTGATGGTCTGGAGGTACTGGTATATTTGATTTACACTGCAGAACTGTAACTTTTGAAGTTCTTTGAGATACTTGGATGCAAAGTCCAGTTAAAGTGCAGGCTTTGTGTCTAGTCTGTCACTACAAGACTGTGTGACTCAGTCTGTGTTCCCATACACAGGAAGGACAGATAGACTGGCCACAGAGGAAGGGGAGAGTTTAATCCATTCACCACTATTCTCCTCCAAGCAGAGAGTGGAATTAAGGGGGTGGAAGCAAGGCCAACCTCAGCTCAGCTTGCTGGCAAGAGCAGCTTAGGCTGTGCGGGGTAGGAGAAGGGAAGGCAAAGAGGCCTCCTGAGGTTTAATGGCCAGCAGCAACAAAGTGGCCTCCCTCAAACTGGAGGAAACAGGGAGGAGTGTGATTCCAAGAGGTACTGAATTTCCTGCTCAGTTTAGCCAAAGGGTGATGCAGTTTGCACGCTGCCTACTGCCCTGGGAGATGCCTGTGATCATAACTTCACGCAGAGAGATACAAAGGCACCTGGTATTTCAAAACAAAGGTCTGTAGGCAGGTATAGATCTGAAACTGATTCTTAAGCTCCATCCCCATATGGGAGATTTTTGTCCACCCTCCAAAACCTGTAGCTCAGTGCACAGAGCTGTTTGCCAATAGGTCACTTGTTCAAAATCTGTCATGAATAAAGTGTTTACTACTTAATAACAAGAGTTTGGTGGCTGACATCAGCTGCCTGCTGCATTGATTCAGACCCCACTGGGGCACACTTTAAAAACCTACATAAAAACCTCCCTGCTCTACAAGACCTACCAGCACAGCAGCCCACATGCAGTGCCAGCAGTACCACCAGCGTTGCCCAAAGCAGGCTAGGAAAGGATTGTCTGACCACTGCTTCCCTGAGGACCTCCAGGGACATTAGATGTATCTCATGAGCTTCTCAATCAGCAAAAACTGGAACAAAAACAAATAAAACAGTTGGTGGTCTCAACAGTGTTTCTTGAGGGCAGTCACACATGTTACAAAAGCTTTCCTTGTGATGGGCACTAATTGCTCTCCCTTGTTAATGCTCTTAGCAAAGAAGTCAGCAATGAAATTGCAATGGAGGGTAAAGGTCAGGCAGACAGAAGTATTTGGGTTCCTTGCCTCATATAAAAGGAGCCTGAACTTCCACTGCGACCAATGTGAACGTTGGTGCCGGTGTAGCAACCAGGGCCTGACACACCTGGCCCACATTTAATTACTGCAGTGATTGTCAAAATGTTGTTGCTGTTTGAAATTTGTCTGCAAAGGAAGGGAAAACAAGCATCTCCAGATGTTTGCTCAGAGCTTTTGTGGAACACTCAGCTCCCCTGGAAGCATTCATGTCAGTCGAAGAGAAAGAACTGGAAGTCTGCCTTCCAACTCTGGAACCTCCAAAAATTGGCCAAAATGGGTAGTTGTGAATCTTGGCCTGTGTATCCATGTCACCCTGTGTACCAGCTCTGATGGCAGGACCTCTCTCAACTGATGGCAGGACCTCTCTCAACTCATGCTAGTCACCTCAATGTCAATCTCTAGTCTGAGCTGCTCACTGTGGGGAGGCATCTCTCCACTGATTGAGATGGATGCTTCACTCGGATCTGAAGCTCCAGGCTTCAGCCACACAGTTGTCAGGTCAGAGTTAGAGAGCAGTACAGGTCCTTTGTTGTATGGCTGCAACAGGACCGCCAGCTTTGCTTCTCCCCTTACACTGTGTGTTTCCAAGCCAAGTAATCCTAATGTGTCAAATCACTGCTAGTATTTATTCCTGGTCCTTTTATACTGCCTTTTCATAGGGGTTCAGCTGTAGTTTTCCTGTTAATTAGACCCATCTAGACCAGAGCTTGTATTAGACCAAAGCAAACACAAGCCAAAATTTAATTTGTAAAACAAACATCAATGTTATCAATAGGCAGCAGGCTGAAAGAGGTACAACCCCCTCTGCTCTGAAATCAGAGAGAAATATCTAAAGCAATGTGAAAAAGGCACGAAAACGGCACATTTTGAAAGAAACAAGATGAAAAAGATAGGCAGTCATTCTCAAACACAAGCAGTAGCTCTGTAATCACAAAGCAGGTCGCTAGTGGAGTGCTTCCCATGAGCAATACATCTGTGGTTATGCAAACCTTATAGGCACAGTTCCTATTAGAAGCTAACATCAATATTTTCATTGCTAGCAAGTTCAGCACAAATATGTGTCTTTGTCAGTAAAACACAGAACATTTTAATCGCATTTCAAATCTTATTTTCACATTAGCACATAGCTTCAGTTTTAAAAATCAGGATTTTTAAAAGGAATAAACAATTGTAGAAGACAGTTTCTCTGTTTAAATATGTATTCTGATGCCCATACCTATCAGAATAGATTGTAGGTAGTAAAATAACTTAAATGTCTCCTTGGAGACACCCTCAAAATCTTAAATTTAAGGAGTTCCAGGTAAATTCAAACCTTGGTCCCAGGTGGGGATCCAGCAGTAGGTTCTCACTGTATGAGGATGCTGTGAGGTTTGATGTCCTAGTGAGCAGAAGGTGATTTTTGGTGGGCAATGGATCGACCTTCCAGGTCGTGCTGCAGCTCATCGCATCAGAGGTGCACTCCCAGGTCTTATTCCTCTCTGTGTCCTGAGCTGAATCATGCAATCGGAAAATCTTCAGGTATGCAAGAGTTACCAATGAGATACGTCATATCAGAGGACATCTCTGGAGGTTACAAAGAAACAGAAAATCAAATGAAACATAAATAGTTCAATTATACATAAAAAAAACTTGTAATATGTTTCCTAAGAAAATACGTGATTTTAGTGGCAATTTTCCTATGCAATGTTTCAATGCTGAGGAATGTCAGAAGTTAAAAAGTCACCATTTCAAAATAAACGGTGGTATTTCAATGGAAATTGTTGGCTTGTATTCACTTGAACATCACTGATTCTTGGGAATGTTTCATCCTACAATAGCTTTCAGTACGTTAGTCAGTTCTAGCTACCGCTCTCCAAAGGAGGGTAAAGGGGAAGGGGAAAATTCTTAGCAGAGCAAGCAGGGTTTAGGATGACAGGAGCTTTTCAGTGCAGAGTAGGAAGTCTCTCTCTTAACTTTAGCTTGGAGCAAGCATCAGACCCCAATGTAAACTTTCCCATCTGTGTTATTCTATTAACTGAAAGGGAAAGGGATTAGCATGTGTACTTGTCACATCTTTTGACCTGCTGCATACTGAGACCGAAGGTAATGTTAAAGCAAACAGCATTCTTCTTCCCCTGCCAGGATAAGCAGGGCATGGGGCAGCATTCTGCTCAAAGAAAAGAAAGCCAGACCACGTAACACAAAGTATGTGCCCCGTGCAAAAATAAATCTTGGAAGCTGCAGACTTCCAAAGGGTATACCTTAAACAGGGCAAGAAAAAGAGGGAAAACATCTGAGAGGAAAGTTCTCCTTGCTGCCAAGCACCAGATGGAGGAGGGCCTTCCCACAGAAATAGCTGCAGAAACCACCGCCAGGCAAGGAGGTCCCGCTCATCCTGCTGCTAAGAGCATAGTGGATGAGAATATACTACTCTGATAAAAACACTTGCTCCAGAGAAGGGAGCTGGAATGTGGACTGTGCTTTACGATGTGACAGAGTCCAGCCTGTATCCCTGAAAGGAGTATACAGTTTGGAAGGTTAATATGGCTTGGGTTTCATTCTTTCTTTTCCTACAGAATCCACTTTCTTCCTTAATATAAGTTTAAAGAGCACATGTGCACACACAGGCATGCATAATGGCAACAATAATCTGCTTTTCTACTCCCTTCCCCTTTTATTTCCACAAGGCCTTTCCTGTGAGTGGGACAAGATGAAGTGTTGGATGGTGACAGTGATGGAGAACATGTTTGGGTATAGAGGGTTGGCCAAATGAAGCTAGGCATCAAAAATCTTTTTCAAGTGTTTCAGTTAACTTGGCACTAAATTATTCATAGAAAAGAAAAATTGAGGGCTTTCCACTCCCGCTTGTCCTAGATGTTTCTGGTTCCTTTGTTAAATCAATAGAAGTGCATGCAGTTGTTCAAAGCAGAAAACAAATGCAGCACCTCCAGGATGATCTGGGCAGTTCAGCAATGGGAAAAAAGGCCATTAGCAGTATTGCTGTCACAGAGAGCCAAATGAATGGGACAGGATGTGCTGGGTACAGTGTGCTCAGGAAACAGGCTCTTCCAAGAAGGCTTCAGGTACGCCCTGATGTTCCCAACATTTGAATGAGAGCCACAGGCTGAGCATCCGATGTCAACAGAGAAGATAGTTAATAGAAAGTATTAACCATAACTGAAACACAGTTCCACCTTGGGATCGCGTTCCCTCAGAGTGCAAGAAGGGTATCAGCAAATCAGGGTGAGTCAAGTGGGCTACTGAGACAGCTGAACAGATGAGGGAGGTGAATTTGTTCAGCCTGGAGAAGAGAATGTTAAAGGAAGGGATCCTAACTGTACCTTTTACCAAGCCAATGGTAATTACAAAGGAGGCAGCATCCAACTTTTCTCAGATAAGTACAGCAACAACGAGGAGAGGCAACAACCACTAGTTGCAGCAAAACTAATTCCAGTTCCACTTAAAAAGAAAGAATCACTAGGTGTACAGTTAAGCTCTCCAGCAGGCTGCAGAGTGAAATACCCAATGCAGGGGATATTTAAAACCTCACAGAACATGGTGCAGAGCAACCTGAGCAGCCTTTTGAAGTTGGTCCTCTTTTAAGCAGGGGCTCAGACCAGAGGATCTGTAAAGGCCAGTCCCAATCTTAACCAGCCCATGACTCTGAGAATACCAATTATATTTTTTCAGTGATGTAGACGTTCCCTCTCAGAAATCCCCATCTCCTATCTCATCTACAATGCCACCCTCTGATTTAAACTCTCACTCCCATGAAATAGAAGGCAGAATAAAGCGTAACTGAAAATATGATCTAATATGATCTGTACCACCTGCCACTTGTGACTTCATTGCAGGCCTTTCCATTCCCTGTGAACTCTGTCATTTCTCCCCATATTTTATCTCTATGGGACAAACAGGTCAAGACAACAGTGCTGTACTAGGAAACACAGCTACACAAACACACAGTCCTGTTTATGGATGCCCAAGTTCACTTCTGCATGCTGCTTGCACTGTCACCTCAGGAAGTGAATAAACCTCACTCCCTTCCTCAGTTGTCTTTGCCAGGGGCATGGATGCACACTGTGGACAAAAAGCAGCTTTGCTACTTTTATTTCTCCAGGGGAAGGAGAAAAAAAAAGTGTAACTATACTGTGAAAAGAAATACCCTTAAAACCTGATTAATCTTCTCCTGCTAGAAGAGCCATAATGTAGAGAGGACAGCTCAGGATGGACCTCCCCAAACCTCCCCAAAGCAACAAGTAGTGGGATCAAAACAAGTCTAGCAGGCGTGCCAAAGAGGAGCATCACCATTTCTCCTTGAACTCAGTTTAAATAAGATGGGAAATGTTTCCCCATGCTTTGCAAAGTGTTAGGCAAACGTGGGCTAAAGTTACAGGGAAATTCAAGAGAGATGCAGTCAGCAATATGAAGCTTCTCCTTTGCTGGGTGGCAGTGGATGAGATCAGAGGGGCTAAACACAGATTCCTCAGCGCTCATAAGGGTGTTCCCAGAGCAGGTATGAACCCCTGTCAGAACATATTACTGAACCAATGCTTACACCTGTCTCTGTTATTAAATACAGCCATTTAATTGAAGTGATTGGGAATGTTTACAGGGCATTAATATGAACTAAACAAAGAAGGTACTTTTGGGAGGCTATGCAGGATAGGTCATTGCTTTGCTGAAAATAAGCACTCTCACTCTTTGTCAGATTTACTATTTTCCCTGTACATGATTGGAAGGATTCAGCCTGACAGTGCAAGGCAACAGTGCTACAAACTGCACCATACAGCCCCTCTCCTTTCTCATTTTCTCCTCTCAAACTCTCCTTACTGACTCTGTATTACAACCTAATGATGGATCATGACACTTATCCCTGAGGTTGATCACACATTGCGTGATGACTGTTTTACTAATAACTAACATTATTAACATTATTTTCACATTCCTTGCGTATGTGTTTACAGCCTTGCTGCTGCTGTGCTGTACAACACCAACCACAGAAATAAAGCACGCAGAAAGCTGACCTGTTGAGGACAGTGGGATGAGCTGTGCTTCACCAACACTGTTTCAGCACACGCTTACAGTAAGGCACACCTACCTTGCAATGGCCATGCAGGACATTTGTACACAATTAGATATTGCTCTTCTGAGTCCCAAATTAATTTCACGGACACTCAGACTCTCTTCATCGACAGTCTGCAACGGAAAAGTAACAAGATGGAAATTCAATTAATTGGAGATGCCATCAGACCTCCATTCTCATGGCAGTCACACTCATGTCTTCGGATGATAAATTAGACGTTTGCTTACCGAGTGAGCGCTGCTCACTTCCAGTTGATAGGAGCAATCTACCCCTAACTGTAAAGTATGAACAGGAACCTATGCCTAACACTAAAAGACTACAAGTAACCTATGTCTAACTCTAATATAAGAACAGGAACCTATGCCTAACACTAAAAGACTACAAATAACCTATGCCTAACACTAAAATGCTAAAAGTAACCTATACCTAACTCTAAAATACGAACAATAATCTACTCCTAACACTAAAACTAAACACTAAAATCAACAACAAAAACAACTAAAATATAACTCCCACAGCATTTAAATGGGAAGAGGAGAACTTGGCTCCCCAGGAGGCTCGGAGGAGGAGCTGATGGAAACTCATGCCACCCAGCTAATGCTGGGGGCGGGGGCCGCGCAGCGGGTAGGGAGCCGAGCGCCTGGACCAGCGGCGGTGGAGGGACGGCGCCGATGCGGGGCCTGGCACGGTGGTGTGGTGCCAGGCCAGCTGAGCCGCAGGCGGATCCACCTCCATGGGCTCTTCTGGAGGTGGATCCACCTCCATGGGCTCTTCTGGAGGTGGATCCACCTCCATGGGCTCCACGGAGGTGGTCGCAGCGCTGGCCCAGGCGCGATGGAAACGGAATCGCTGCCCCCTCCTCCGCTTGATCTTAAAGGCGGCCCCCCTCCTCCTCTTCGCTTCTGGGAAGCCAAGCTCCCTCTTCCCATTTAAAATTGGGCAAAGTTCGCCCCTCGCTCTCTTTGCTCCTGCCATGGCTGACAGAGCTCACAGAGGCGAGTGCGTTGGCCGGGGCAGCGGTGACCAAGGTGACGGCTGTGATGCGGCGAAGGTTCTAAAATGGCAGCCGCACTGCTGGCAATGGCGTTCCACATAGCATGAGGAGGGGGCTGGAGGACAGGGCACGGGACGGCAGCTAGAAGGCGCTCCCTGTGCCCAGCGGGCAGCCCTTCTCTCCGGCAAGCAAGAGGCCACAGAGGAGCCGGCCCCGAGAAAAGGGCCCTCGGCCTCCTTCATCCTCTCCCTGCTTCCACACGGCAATCTGTTGCGGCTGGCACACGCAGCACACAGCGCCATGTTCAGGGGCCTCCCGAGCCCAGCGCCAACAACAGCAGGCTCCACAGCGCACCTCACCACGCCTGCCTCCTGGCACACACCAGCTCCGCTTTCCACCTTAGCACCCAGCGCCTCTTCTTGCGCCTCACGGCTGGGGATTCAACCATTCCCTACCATCAATACGGCCAGCTGCATTTTGAACAAAACTTCCAGAATCTCAGAGGAAATACATTACTGGGAACAATCTTCCTCAACAAGAGGGTTTGTTACTTGTCTCGTTTATAAAGTCTTGCATTCAAAAATCCCCAAATAACATATTCAGTATTTGCTGTCATCTCAGCCAGCCTTGGTGGAAAAGACATGGTAGGAAAGTTCTGCAGGACACAACTTTCAGAGGACACCCAGGCGCTTGGTAGGATGTCAGTCACTGAAGGCCCGTGGAATACATGAGCATCCTTTATCTACTGCAGATGCTCAGCTACGGCAAGTGAGCACCTCACCTTGACTTTAAAGAAATCCCAAAATGACATTTCCCAAGGCATGTGCATTGTACACTTACTGACCAGAGTATTTCCAAATATAGAGTCCTGACAATACCCCTAGATTTAGCTTCTTTTGAGCGTGGCTGTTGGGAGATATTACTCTAAGGCAGGTATGAAGCTGCGAGAGTCCTAGGTCTGAGAGCTGCACAAACAGACTGTCCTGATAGATACATACTATATAATACATACTTTTCCACAGGTGCGTGTAATAACGTTTGTGTAAGTACTCAAACACACAAATACAGAGATGTGATGGAGAGGAAAAAAAAAAAAACAACTACACATCAGGGTAGTGCTTTACATCAGAAATCTGCGGTCTCCTGAACTGGACAGGCAATATCAGCTTTCCCCAGTATTATACAGATTGCGTACCAAGTCAGTGGCTTTAAAAGACTACCGGTGCGCTCAACAGAACTCACCAGTACTCCTTGGCAGCCTTCCACTCTAGCTCTGCTGGCCAAATAATCTGCCTAATGCATTTTAAGCCTTAATTAGATTTTTCTGACTCTTATTTTTTCTGCTTGAAGAGCATATTAGTTCAAGGACCAAGTATTTATAGCCCGCTTGGTGGTGTTCTGACATCAAATGCCAGTATTTCCACTGCATGGCACTGCCAAGGCCTAAGAACTCAGACATCTACAGGCACAAACACCATATCCTTAATGCTCTGAAATGCCAAAAGAGAGAAACTTGATGATTTGCCCTTATTTTAGCAGTAGCAAAGTGAAAGGAAAACACCGTGTGGAACATTTTAATACCTGAAACATTTCTATTTACTTAAGTAACGGTGCAGCTTTTCCAATTAGGATATTTTATACTCTTTTTTTTTTTTCCATTTTCTGTTTGTCCTCAATTTAATCATAACATGTCTTCAAATTCTATATTTGAACTTGTCCAATTTCCACCTTTTCTCACTAACAATTCCAATCTTCTGTTATTCAATTCTTATTTGACGGGGCCTGAAACCTATGTAGGATGGTGAGATTTCTGATAAGAATATCTCCAGTTTTTCCTGTTTTACAGCAGCTGAACAATGGGAGCACTGAACCACTGCTCAAATGTATTGCAGAGTTACAGGACCCCCCCCCCCCCCCTTCTTTTTTTTTTTTTTTAATACAGATAATTTTAAATCAGCTCTCTAATACAATAAGGAACAGCAAACAGCACTTGTGGGATCTCACAGGCAAAACACATAGGTGGGAAAGCTTCTGAAGCTGTGACAGCAACAGCAAATAATCATTTGCCTCCTTCCGCTTCATGCTGTTTTTTGAAGGGCAGTACACCCTCTAATCAGCAAAGTGATAGAAGCATAGGTCTTGTTTGCACTTGATTTTCCCTTTTTTTCCTCCCTTGCCAACCCCTGTGGTACCCCAAAGCTCTGTGCAGAGCTGTCCTGTTGGCTTCTCACCATCCCCATCGCCACTGGTGCCACTCAGAGCTCCTACCAGTTGTGGTTCACATCATGCAGCTTCTTTTAAGTGAAGGTGCATCAGGATTAAATCATGTCAAGTTTTTCTTGCTGCCTGGCTATGCTGTGTTGGTGTGAGCAAGTGTATCAAGACCTACTCCTCGCAAGATGTAAACAAGGCTCTCTCAGCTTCAATTTGAGTTTCGGACCACAGTTTGTCAAAACGTGGATGCGGAATAATCTCTGTCAGTTTACTTATCCCCTCATGCTGATAAAGTCCCACTACTCCAACATAAAGTCCTCAGAGAAGTCTGTAAAATGAAAAAAATTTTAAAAAATTTAAAAAAAAAAAAACCCAACAGGCTAAATCAACTCTCAAATTCCCATGTAAACTGGGTTTAAGAGTGGAAAATTTCTTTTACCTATTCTTTGGGTGGTACAAAAATCTAAAATTCCTATAGCCCTGCTTCCTCGCGCCAAGTCAAACAAGGATATTGTCCTTTTAATGTCTTGAAGGCTCTGTTTTCTTGTAATGCCAAATGCAATATTTTTTTGAAAACACTACACCAGAAGTTTCCCAGCTGAGAAAACAGGCTGGTGAAAAATGGTTTCAGAAAACGAAATAAACCATGCAAAAGCTGTTCAGGGTGTGTGTATGAAATGAACATCTGGATTTGGCTTGTTAAACTGCCTCCTTTTTTCCTCTCTCTCCCCCTCCTTTTTCTTTTTCTCACAGCTGTTCGAAAGAGTCCTAAGGGCAAAGAGACAGGTCAATGGACTGGGTTACACCTTTTTTTCTTTCCCTCTTTTTTCAAACCTCTTTGCACCTACGCAAGGAATCCAGGCCACATGTGTGTTTAATAAGTAGGCACAAACACAAGAGAGAAAAAAAATATCTCAATTCCTGTTGGTTCTTAGGAAAGACACTGAAGGAAAAATAAACTCCGGATTTCAATTTTTTTTTTTCTCTAAGAAAAAAAAAAAAAAAAAGAAAGAAACCTTATGGTTCCAATAAAATATTCCTTTAGAAACCCAATGGATTTTATTTTTTTCAAATTGTGGTCTTTGCCGAGTGTATCTTTTTCTCTGCTCCCTCAGAGAGAAATAGCAACGGGTTAATCCATAACCTGCTGGAGCAAGAGGAAATTATAAAATGCCACTGGCCTGGTTTCATTGAACCAAGTCTTCTGATACCACTACACTGATACATAAATTTGTATTGAATGGGTTCAGATCTTACTTCAAGCTGCAACTTCCCCAGTTGAGGGGAACAACAGTTTGAGCAGTGCAGAAACAAATCAGAACAAAAGTAACTGAGAAATTATCCGGAGAAGATAACTTGTGAGAAACAAATGATTTGCCTTTTTCTGCTAATCCCACCCCCCATGGCATTGCTAAAGCCATGGCCAGCAGCAGAGCATCCTTCAGCCATGACAGGCTTCAGCACCCTGCTCCAGGAGGACAAGGGGAATCATTCCCACACGGTTCTTCTAGTGTGAGGACTGCGCTGGGCCTGACCCAAATCTTGGATTGTATATCAGATGAACAAATTACGTCTTAGCTTGCAAGCAGGGCTGCTGTAGACCACTGAAAATTACCTCCACTAAAATACTGTATTCTCTCTGGAATATAGCCTTGGGGCACTGTACCTTCATGTACACAGATGGGGCCTATCAAGGATCAAGGGCACAAACCCAAGGAGACACTGATAGTTGCTATAAGTAAACAAAACAAAAACCCTTCCTATTTAAAACTTTCTGCTTTAAAATTTCAGCTTTCTGCTAAATTAATAGCAATTTTTATGCAGCTTGTGCACATCTACACTTGACACATGGATTTTAAGCTTAGACCCAAGTATTACACACCTGCTGATCCTTGCAGTAGAAAA